TGTATGCTTGAGCTTGTAAGCCTTTGCAGGTGAGCCTCTCAGCAGTGCTGTGGAGAACTAGGCTAGCCTGGGCACCCACCAGCCTGCACTCAGATCAGCCGCAGCCCAGCTGCCAACCGATGGATGAAAAGCTATGTTCAGAATGGTTTCTCTAGTACGATTTTCATAAGGATAAAGATTCTAGGGGCCAGACAGAGTGGACTCCTACAGTGAAATAGTATTTTTCAGACATAATAGGGTAGCTGCTTGTATGAACTCAGAGTGACAGGGACTGCATGCACAAGGCCAGGCCAGCCACCCAGCGTGGATAGAAGAGCAGCACACAAGTCAAACTCCCGAGGAACTCCTGGCAACTGATGACCACCGGGGAAGGAGAGTCAGCTCTCTTCACGGATGTAGCCTCTCAGAGGCTGCCCACACTCTAGCAAACAGCCCCACACCCAGGCACATGGAGGCAGCACAAGGAGGACTCAGCAGATTTAAAAAGAACACATGAAGCTGGGAGGAAAAGTCGGGGGTGGGGAGGAAGCAAAGTGAGGAAATTTGGAAAGGGAGCGGATTTGATCAAAACACATGTGCAGATATGAAGCTCTCACTTTTAAAGCATTATAAAAAAGGAGGAAAATGTTATTTTAATAAAAGGTATGGTCATTTATAAAGTCAGACTACTAACTAGCCTGGTGTCTCTGCTACCATAAAATCTTGGCATCAGTTTACTAAATGGTACTCTAATTCCATCCAAGATAATTTTCTAAAAAGAAAATCTCACCTCTTTTTGTGAATACAAACAGAACATGTCACAGTCCTAAATTCATGTCAACAAGGAAAATCCTAGGTGGTAAAGCTGGTCACAAAACGCTTTTTAGAACCAGTCAACACACACCCAGGGTGGTGCGGCCTGAGGCCATTTACAGTATTTGAAAAGAAAGGCTCAAATAAAACAAGTTAGGTCCAAGTAGGCTAATGTGTTGTAGTGTAAGGAAAACCACGGCCTTATGGACAATCTTCAAGCACACAGGCTCTGCCACTTAACCTATCTATACAACTTGAGGCCTTTACTCTCCAAAGAGCAGAGTCAAGCAAAGGTGCATCTCTCCACGTCTCTCCAATGTGGTCAGGTAAGTGGTCAGTATAACAACAAAAGCTCAGGCTCTTCTCCAAGATTTGGAAACTCCCCAACATATCTCACTTTAGAAATGATTCACACTATGGATCACACATCAAGGAGAATAATCATGATGCTAATTTACCAGAAAAAAAACGAGTGAACGGAGGAATCACCTTCACATTTTACCAAAGGGCAGGATCATTTGATTCCTTGTACTTCAAAATGCTGAACACTAAGAAACTGTTTATCCAGTTACAATGTCAAACTCTCAAAACTCTTAATAACTCTCAAACTCACTATGGAGGGGCAGAGAGAAATCGTTCTTATTAAAATACGTTCATGTAGACTGGTTGTATTTTAAACAGTTATTTAAAGCAGCAAGCTACCAAACGAATTGCTTGCTTCTAGAATCAGGGAGCTTGTTAATCAGTACTTAGGATTCTCGTTGCCTAACAACCCAGTACAACTTCAGCATTACCATAAACCTACTGTCTCTAAAAATAGCTTCTTTCCACATTCAGGTTCTTAGCTCACTCAATCAAATGCACCCCAGGAAAAAGGCTTGAACAGTAAGGCCTGTGAGGACAATACATTGAGGGATAATGAGAATGCTGATGTGTGTAGCTTTAGTGTTGCTGGTTTTGTTTTGAGTGGGTCTCTATTCAGCTCCAGCCAGCCTGGAACTTGTTATAGAGATCAGGGGAGCCTCAAGCCTGCAGATACCTGGCTGGCTCGGCCCCTGTGTCACCACACCCTGCTCCAAAACTGTTAACAAATGTCCTCCAGATCATGCTGCATCCTCCTCAGGCTCTGCTATGCGCAGCAGCACCCTCATGAACTGACCTATTACCTTTGTGGAGCATTCCTCTAGTTCTCATGTTAACATCTGGTCTAAATTCCAGCTTTACTGTGATTAGTCCTGGTACATCCTGGCTTCTACCATCCTTTTAATTATAAATTGTCATTTGCACTCAGAGTACATGTGTTACAGATAGCAGGCACCTGGGCCACGCTTTTTCATTCCATCTGAGGAATCCCTGCCTTTCCATTGAAGTGTACTGTCTTCTACATTCAACGGTGACCTGCCAGGCTACTGTCCTGCTGTCTGCCTCTTCCTGTTACATTTACACTTTTCTCCTTTGTTCCTTGTTTGCTTCAGAGGCTGGTAAGGTTTCCTGTCTGCCCTTAAAGTGCTATACAACCCACAGTGAATTCAGGAGCCTACATCACCACGACAGCACATTTCTACATCCCTCTAAACGTTCCCTTAAATGGTCTTCCAGGTTCAGCCTGTCTTCAGGCTGAAGAACCCTTCATTACTCTGAGGTTATTTTCCTTCATTCTGAAAAATTTCCTGTATTATCTCCTACAGTGCAGTATGCTGGTGTTTTTAAAGATGGTAAAATATTTTAATTTTGCTATTAGCTTTGAAGGGTTTTATTGGTACGATTTTTGCTTTACTAGGGCTAGAAGTTGAACCCAGGGTTGCCTATACTCTAGGTAAGATCTCTATCACTTGTATGAGGACCATACAAGTCATGTTAATACTCATTCAGCTGGCTACAGGCAACATCACATTGTCTTTTAGTAGTACTGTTTCCAATCCAAGGTCAGCGCCCACTCTTCCCTCTGGCTGCTCTTCATGCTTCTCTTTATAAGTGGCTTTTGATAATCTGACAAGGATGGAATGCCCTTTTGCAACTTTTCTGTTGGGGTTTATTTAGCTTACTGGGTAGGTAGATTCACATCATATCTGAAGAAAGTTCTTTTTGCATTAAATTTTTTTTGTTCCAGTAACATGCTATTCCAATTATGTATACATACACACACATGATGTACACATATACATACACACACACACACACACACACACACACACACACATGATGTACACACGTTACCCCACATGTGCTTCCCTCCTTAGACTGGCTGGTCCTTACTTCAGGTGAGATGAATGTTTCATTTTAGATACTGTACTTTTCAAGTTAACTGTAGCAGCTTGTTTGCAAAGTTTCCTTCCTTATCTCTTAGAATACTGATGCTTTCCTTTCATCCCTGGACACATTTCTAATACCTGCTAAAAATACTTGCTAATTCTATAAACATCGTCTGTGGGTCTGTTTCTACCCACTGCCGTGGCTGCGGCCGCCTTCTGCACTCCTTGCTCCTGCTCCAGCCTCAGAACATAGATCATCTCTGTGCTCACTTTGACACTGCATCTTTTCAGGAGTTTGCACTGTTTTATTCAAGTTCAGTAGCAATTGCCTCCATTTTTAACAAAAATGTTGCTCTACATTAGTGACATTTCATACTGTCATTTCCACAAAAACAGAAGGATGTGGTTTAACCCTTAATCACTAGTCTGGTGCACTGTGCAAATTAAGTATTGTCTAATCTTCTACTTATAAAAGATTTTATGAATATATATTTTTTAAAACCAAGGATGCCAAGTTATAGAATCCCTTGCTACTTGTAACTGTACTATTACAGTGTCTTAGGGTATTAGAAGAATTTAACGAATCATTTGTCTTGAACACATTTGCAATAAGCATGATGATTTGACAAACAGTTTTCCACTTTGTCCTGATGAGAAAACAGCATGCTCAGTGGAAACCACACGGCAAGTTTTCAACTTTGAACTTTTAGAAGTTGGTGACAGAATTCTTTGTGTTTTCTCTCTTGGTGGGCAGCGCCAAGCTGTGCCTGGAGCCATGCTAGTGTGGACTCATGTGCCTTGGCAGCCATACTAGTGTACCATGATCTGAACTATGATGTTCAGGTCCACTAACTGAGATGAGTTTACAAGCATCTATCCCCACTCTAAGTCAAGGAGCACATACAATACTTAATAGTTTTAAGTCTAAAGCTACATAAAACCAAGATGCAAAGTAGACTATAAGCTAGTCATCCACACTGCAAAATATGTATGACATAATCCATACTATCAACATTGCCTTGATGTGTTTACAATATAAAAGAATTTGGTTTAACTCCAACAGTAGCCAGAACAATTTAAAATCATTAGCAAAATAGGACTATATGTTGCAGGTTATTTGATCCCATTGTGAACCCCAAGATTATGAACTGTAAAACGTATTTATTATTTGGTATAGCTCAGCCCTAACACACACCTTTAATCCAAGAACTTTCTGTTTATTGTAAACAGGTGGCCCCAGTTCAAGATGCAGAGCAAGATACCAGCTGACAGAAATTCAGTAGAAAGGAGGGGTTTGAGAGAGGGGTATTTAAGACAGCATGAAGAAGAAATTTTTTTTTTAATTAACTAATTATTACGTATATAATGTTCTGTCTGTATGTAGACCTGCATGCCAGAAGAGGGCACCAGATCTCATTATAGATTGTTGTGAGCCACCATGTGGTTGCTGGGAATTGAACTAATGTTCTGCCAGTGAGTGCTCTTAACCTCTGAGCCATCTCTCCAGCCCAAGAAAAAGCTCTTTAGTTCTTTGGTTCTTTAGCTTTTTGGGCTCTTTGGCTTTTTCCTTCTGGGCCATCAGCTGAGCTAGCAGGCTTTTGTTTTTTTTCCTTCAGGGCGTGGACTGAGTAGAAAGCTTGGTACTTTCTCTGCCACTCTGAGCTAGCAGGTTTTCACTCCAGCCCCTGGTTCCTGAGTCTTCACTGGTAAAATCAAACGTCTGGGATTTTCATTCTTTTAAAACAATTATATATTAATGAGAGATCCTGAAGGGAAATAGGAAAGGAGTAAGTATGGACAAGGTTAATTCCTTGGGGTACTAAAGCAGGAAAACCACTGAAGACTAGAGTTCTTCAAAGGCAAATGTCTCAGTCTTAATAATAACTTATTTTCAAGAAAAATATCTGATGTTTAAAAATTTATGACTCCCTCCACATCCTAGGAGCAGACACTTACTTCACCGTGGCACTGAGCAGAGAGTTCAGCTGTGGCATCAGCAGGTGGTCTGGGGCTGAGAGGTAGCGGTCAAACTGCACCTGAGAAAGAATAAGACATGAAATGTAGGGATGGCTAAGTAGCTACCAAACATCCACTCCTGGGGAAGGTTACAACTTCAGAAAACCCCCCATTACAGCTGTCTAGGGATCTTTGTTCAAATGAGCACTTCTTAAAGCATTATAACTGAAACACCCTAAAATGCCTATATAAAACTTCCATGGACCGGGGTTTGAAAAGGCTGGCGGGGTACAGTGACTAGACAGTATAAGAGTTTACATGCAAGTCTCATTTTGTGTATGCGTATGCTACTTTGTGTGCACATGTGTTTGTGGGCGCATGTGTATACAGAAGACAGAGAATGACTTTGGGCCCTGCTCCTCAGGTGTCCAGCTTTTCTCCCTCCAGTGCAGGGTCTCTGGCAGCCTAGAGTTTGCCAGGTGGACTGGGCTGGTCAGTGAGCCCTGGGATCCCATCTTCCTCCCTCCTCCTCCCAGCACTGGGATCACAGGCATGCACCACCACACCTGGCTTTTTAAGTGGGTTCTGGGGACCAAGCTCAGGCTCTCAGGCTTCTGTGGCAAGCACTTTTTACTGACTGAGCTGTCCCCAACCCTTAGAAATAAATTTGTAAGAAACTTAGGTCTTTTTAAGTGAATCTGAAATTCATTCATTGTCACTGGAATTTTTAAACATAAAAATTTTCTCTGAAATTTCAGTTTGCTAGCACAGTCTTACTCTGTGTATACGGTATGATTGCTCCCTCTAGGTGGAGTCTTTATCATAATGTAATATACCCTATCTGTCTCATTTAGGGTTCTAAACTGCAGGCTGTCTAACAGCAACTCTGCCAGTTCTGCTGCCTCTTCTGCATAGCTGCTATCACAGCATTTAGTTAGTTTCAGTCCTGGAGTATGGCTGCACTGGTTAATGTCAACTGCCTGTTGGGCAGGACCTGGAATGACCTGGGAAGGAATCTCAATGATGGACTGTCTAAATTAGGTTGGGCTGTGGGCATGCCTGTTAGAAGTCTTCCTAACTGGATTAACTGTGAGCAGAACGAACCTGACTCTGGACAACAACATTTCACGGGTGGGGCCAAATGACCAGCAGCAGAGCTCTCCTCCTGGCTACGGACTGCATGTAGCCAGCTGCTTCAAAGCCCCACCAAGGCACAGTCCCTTTAACTGTGAGTTAAAACAAACCCTTTCCCCCTTAACTTGACTTTGTGAGAGCAAGTCTATCAGAGCAACAGGAAAAGACCCTAGGACAGTAATATGCAGGGCATCTCTGACAGCAGAATGATTCGCAGACATCCACTTTGTTAGGGCTCATCTGAAGAGCTCAGCACGGATGTCACCTGCAGCAGGCAAGCCTCCAGGCTCTGAACAGCTGACTTCCTGGGTGAATGGAATTAAAGAGTTAGAGCAGCAGTGCTGCTGTGAACTTGCAGAGTTTCACTTACGAGTGACAGGGCTACATGACTTACGAGTAATGCCATGGGGAGATATGCACAGAACATATAGACACACTTACGACACATGCCTAGAACAAGCTGAGGTCAGAAGAGCATGCTGCCCAAAGCGGTGCTCATCCCAAAAGGAATGAGTTTGTGTTTGAGACTGTGTACATGTGTATTAGTGAGGCCTGACTGTGTGTATGTGTGTTTTGGAAGTGTGCAAGAATGTACAGGTGGGTCAATGGCTGAATGTGTGAACTTGAGTATGTATTAGTATATATGCATTGTGTGTTTATTTGTACATACATGAGACTGTAAATGAACGCTTAAGTGCATATGCTTGAATGTACGTATGACTGAGTGTGAGCATGTATATCAGTATGAATGTGCTTGAGTGTGTGTATGCCTGTGTGAATATGTATGTGTCTGTTTGTGAGTTTATGTATGAGTGTGCTCATGTGTGTGACTGTGTCTGAGTATACATGTGAATGTGTGTGTGTGTGTGTGTGTGTGTGTGTGTGCATGTTGTACAATGCTGGGGACTGAACACAGGGCTCCGTGCATGCCAGGCAAGCATTCTACTACTGCAACTGGAGCTGTTCACTTGAAAAGTAAGACTGAGGGTTTCACGAGTCTCCTGCTGAAGAGTAATACACTATTCTAAAGACAGAAATCCAAGTTCATTATCATCTCAGAAAAAACCGGAGGTTTGAACCAGGAATCATGGCAATATAGAGTCTGTAATTCACAGCCTAACTTCACATCTTTCACCACTCCTGTTTCTCCACCAGATTAGGAACCAAACTCTATAAATGAAGAAATATTAAATTGCACTGGTGACATGGTCAAGGCCTGATGGAAGATTCCAGTAAGCGGTAAATCCTGGTGAGAGCTGGTAAGAGGAGCACATATGTAGGAGCTGTTATTGGGCTCAAATTGAACTCAGTAAATCAAGAGAGAAAAATCGTCACCGTGGACACCCGCACCATATAGCCACAGCCAGCACTGCCTAAGGGAACCCACCTTGACTACTTTGTTATGCACTTACCATTGCAGCCTTCAGTGCCACCGAATCTAGGTTGGGCAAACTGGCTAAAGAACCCTACAAAAAAGTTATAAAAATGGTCTATTAAAAGATTGCCAGTTTGGAAAAAATTACATAGTTGTTTCCAAAGAAAAGTGTTTTCTCTTAATTGTAGTAAAAGAGGAGTTAAATCACAAATTATCAGCAACGAGATAGCATCACATTGAGACTTACTCAAACCAAGAAGAGGAAAGTGACAAACACTTGGAGGATGCTGATGAGGAACAGCAGCCATGGCCTTCTTGCGGAACAGAGAACAGTGAGGAATCGGTTCCCCCGTCATCGGGCTTCAGCAAAATGCAAGGGTAAAGCTGCAGATGCTTTGATCTGCTTTTTAAGGCAGGACAGCTACCTTGTGATCCCCAGTACCCTAGGATCTAGTACTACTGGGGTTCTGTAATATCATTTCAGTTCAGATCATCTTCCTTTACTGAGCTATCTGCTAAGTTAGACGGAGGATAATATTACTTGTATAGCAATCCATTTATTCACTCAGCTGAAAACAAATGGGACTTTAAAAATTCAACAGTATGACCATCTTGTATTCTGTAAAATACTATTTATGTGTATTTACATTTTGTGATTCTAATTCAAAAATATTTTCATTAATTCTAACCAAGAATTATTTGCATTTTTCAGGCACTCTCCTAACCCTGACAGTTAGGAGGGCTTAGACTTGTCATTAGAAGACATGAACATAGAAGACAGCTAATCGGTGGCAGAGCCGAGATAAAAATCTAGAGTCCATCTCCTGAAGACTCCCCCTCTGCCAGGCCAAGTGGTACTCACCTGGTCAGGTCTATGCTGCTGTACAGTATTGTAGATGTAGCTCAAGCCAACTCTAGTTAAAACGTAAGAGGCTTGCTCATTTATAAGAGTGTCCAAATGAGCTTCAATCTAAAATAAAACGCAGCAGAAAAAAATAAAAAACATTTTCAATGAGAACTAGCAGTGACAGCAGTAAGAGCAGAGTGCACTGGGGTTGACATCATGATTTGACTTGTGGCCCAGATTGTGGACCCACGGCAACTCCCTAACAGCTGTTTTGTTCCTTGGAGACAAGGCCCCTGCTTCTTAATATGTTACAACTAAAGTGGATTCTAGGACTGGCCTCTAGCTAAGGAATATGGGGTGCTTCTCAGCAGAGCGCAAACAAAAGTCACAGTGTGTAAAATAAATTATTCAGGGACAATGAGGGCGCGAGGCCAACATCTTGAGCCTTCCCTCTGTTCTGTACAAGGCCAGTCTCCGAAGAACCTGGTGGGAAATGGCACAGTAGCTGAGGAATGGGACCCCTGAAAGAAAGTACCCCAATAAAAAAAGCTGTTCTTCCCACTTGCCAGGCTTTCCCTGCTCTTCCACACCACAAACTGTCCCCAGTTTTAGCAGTGTTTGCCAGCGGCAGAGTAGCTGCCAACTCTCATTTCTGTCCCATGTGAAAATCTGCCTCGTTCAAGCAACTCCAACTAATTCCTCGTACTCAGAAGCCTATTACATTCTCTTTAATGTAAATACCCAAGAGAGTACAACTAAGAGCCCTTACTACTACAATTTACTGAAAACCAAAGAAAATTTATTTGTTTAAATATAAGCATTTAGTGCAAGTGAAAAATAAAATAGTCAATGCTAACAATCAAATGAGTCAGTGACCTGAAGAAAAACAGAAGATAGAGAAAATATCAAAGAAGCAGGTTAAAGAGACAGAATAAATTGGAGAACAGATCCAGGATATAAAAATAAACAAAGAAAGGATCTCTAGTAAGACAGCAACACAGAGAAATGATAAATAAAATAAGTGAGTAAATAAAAAGTTTGAATCTTCAAGCTGAAATGGCTCTCAAATGTCTAAGACGGGAATACTAGGAAAAGAAGAATACCTAACCTATTCTGAGATCCTGTCTGAACCCAAAGGAAAATCCTTACAGGTTTCTAGGTACAGAGGCATGACTACTCCAAACCGGAGATTCAATCCCTGTCTTAGCAGCAATGCTGGGAAAAGCTAAGTGAGAGCGGGAGATCATGAGCCAACACGGGAATCTGGAACCTCAGCCCAGCAACATGAATTGTCTTTGGAGGATCCCAATGGACCAACACCCGGGTATGTCTCTGGAAGTTTGTGTGCAGAGTCTAGCTGACATAAAATGTGGGTGGGGAGAATACAGAGTCCCTGGACAAACTAATGAAGTCTCTTTAACAGATACAGAAGAACGTTGTGCCATGCAGAAAATGCACAGAACACTGAGGACAAATGTAAAATAATGAACATTTAAGAAAATACATCTGGGACAAATGGCAGAGATTTGTGTATGAACTGGTGACAAATAAGAAAACATTATGAAGCATATTAAGTCCATGGAAATAAAAAGTTACTCAAGACAGAACATTAACCATTCTCCCTTGTACAGCTCAGCTATCAGCAGTATTTTGAGTCACACACTTCAGCACAGCAGCAGTCTGGGTGAGAGTTTAACTGCACTGGAGGGAGGACAGATTCTGTGGAAGGTATCTTTTGCTTCAGACTGTACGCATAGGTAGGGAAGCCAAAGAGGCCATGAGACAGAGGGACAAGGTCGTGAGGAAAGCGGGTCATGGAAGAGAGGAATAGAAGATATACATAAGCAGAAGGGGGAACTGAGGGACTGAGAGAGAAAGAAAGTAAGCAGCTGCAGAGAGCATGGGAGTCATGGAGGAAGAGAAAGAGCACAGCAAATCCCCATGTATGGGATACCATCATAAAACCCATTATTCATGTGCTAAACTAAAAACTTAAAGACTCAAGCCTCCCCCAAACCTTAAGTGGCATACATGCCAGCATTTAGAGCGCTCAAGGCAAATTCTAAAAGAAATGAGTGTACAGATGCGTGAATAGGAGACGCTAGTTCACAACTGTGCCTTTTTACAACAAACTTCAATATTATTAAGACTTTATGATTATTGATCACTCTCAAATATTCTTAAATGAATTAAAATTAGAAAACTCATGTGTATCAAAAGCAACAAATCAAGCTCACTAAATCCACTACCAAAGTATCCATGCTTTTGGTATCAGAACATCTGGAGCCTTTTGCTCTATCCTTGTTCCCTTGAACCTGCATCTGCCAGTCATTACATCCATGTGGGAGCCTGACCAAATGAGCATTAGGTACCTTATAAGTGGCTCTGACTTAGCCATCAAATAGACTCTGAGTGACACCAGCTGACTTATGGGAATAGAGACTGTTAAACAAACCAGAGTGTTTCATCTAATACTGCTTCTGTCCTCTGTCAACATAGGCTACCTGTGTTACATGGCCTGAGAAACACATAACACATCTGCACACAGCACTGAGCATGCAAATGAACCAGAGAGCTTCCTGATACCATCTCACACTATAACCTGATCAAATTCCATAACCATTTCACATTCTGGCTTCTCTAAAGCTGAAAACCAAAATTGTGTGTGTGTCTGTGTGTGTACATTCTTCGAACAGACTATCTTAAGAAATTTATGGAGTCAGGTCATTGGTATTTGTTAAAAGCTAGTAACTTTAAGCTATCACATTGAAACAGCAAAATCGCAGAGAAGCTACTTTCTAGCAAAGTGTACCTGAAACTGAAGCATTTCCAGGCGCCTGTCTGTGAATTCAAACAGAGCCAATGTTGTCTTCATCATGTATAGTGAGTTGACCATGAATGTGGCCATGTCAGCTGTGCCTAAATTGCTGGCTGATACTGTACACATCTGGAGGAGAGGGTCTAAGACGCACGACAAAACCTGTAAATAAAAAGGAAATGAGTTTATCAGGATATGGTCCTGGATTTACAACCCTTCAGAATGAAATGTCAAACTAACTGGAACATAGCAGGTCAACTGATAAAAGTGGACGAAGAAAAGATTTAATAACAAAAGCAGCTTAAAAATGAACATCATTGAGTTACCCTTTAAAATCAGGAAGTGATTTAACATTGAAGACGAATCAACAATAAGGGGACTGTCAAAAGTATATGGCTACATATGCCAGCATTTGACAATGTGTAAGAGTGGGAGCACACAGTCAATGAATTTACAAACGACCTGCACAAAGTCAGCCTGCCGAGCATCCAGGGGGATGACTGAAGAATCGTGTGATGCCAGGACATCCCGCAGCAAGGTGAGTGTCTGACTCAGGGCAGAACTCGGTCCAAGGTCAGGCGGAGGGAGCTCAACCTGGACAAAAACAATAGTTTACCTGCTGCCTGTGTTTTTCTTATGAAGTTTAAAACACATGGAGGGTTCATGATAAAAATGCAAATGTAACATAGCACCATGTCTAATATATTACAAGTACAACCTACCAACAGTTGATTTTGATGTATGCCATTCAGAGTGACAGGATTTTGTTAGCCTACCCCGAAGTTACGATTACAACTTTCTATGTTAAAGCTGAAGAACTAAGAACTGAAGAACTAAAAACTGAAGAACTAAGAGTGACAGGATTTTGTTAGCCTACCCCGAAGTTACGATTACAACTTTCTATGTTAAAGCTGAAGAACTAAGAAGACTGATGTTCACTGGAATTGTAGAATTACACTTTTTACATATTGAAAATAACCTGGTTTAATTCTGTTTTTAGCGCAGGTCATGAGACTAAAGAAATCCACACAGCAGCACAACCCCAATGGCAGTATCCCTGAGAATACCACTCATTCTCAGGTCTCAGTTTCTAGGTTGGGCTCTTGACTCTATTCTTATTCAGGAAAATTCCAGGAGGTTGATTCATAACACTATTCATTTTGAGAAGCAATTCACAAAAAATACGTACCACTAAAATTTTGAAAGCTAAGTTTAAGCCCTGGATCTAGCAATTAAGTTACCAGGAGGGCTAAGTTCTTAGTGTTTCAGAGGACTCTGAAGGGCTGGGCGGAGTCCCTGCATCAGCTGCTGAACAGCGCCTAGGGGAGAGAAGCTGGGCCTAACATATCCCTGGTGCGCTGCTCAGATGGACCACCAGAGGGCTCCTGTGAGCTTACTTAAAATTATTTTTAATAGAAAAAGAACTCATGCAAATATGAGATTCTGCCTATAAAATTTTAAAAGAATATCAAAGTGCTTTTAACTTTAACAGATAAGTACTATAAATTAAACAAATTTTGGCAATTAGAGGTCTTTTTAAGAAACTATAGCCTTGTGTTAGGTAGGCAAAGAGCAAAACTTTTTCAATGTTAGGATTTAAGAACTTTTCATGCATAAAAGTTAATGAATAATTATCATCAGTAGAAAAAGCAGAGTACCTGTGAAACTCCTCTCTCTTTTATGAAAGTAATAACAACAACAAGAAAATGCTATGAGATCCATGAGCAAACAAGAAAATATGGTCCAACAGAAAAACAGAAGCTCTTACTGGTCAAGTTGAAGAACCAAAGGAAAGAATGAAAACAACGGCTGCAACAGACAACCATGACTAAATAAAAATGCTAAGGTGGATACAATAACGGAAATGAAAACTTTACTACAGGGGTTCAGCAACAAATGTGAGGAGGTACAAAAGAATGGCTACCGAACTTGAAGAGGGGCCAACTGAGATTATCCTGATCTATGCAGCAGACAAAAATGGGATGAAATGAAAATAAACAGCACCACATGGGATTCCAACAACATCAGCACAATGCAAGTCCAGAAGAAACAAGCGAAGAAGCAGCAAGTATGTGAAGAAACAGTAGCAGACGACATCCCAAATCTGATGTACACTGATCTGAATGGTCAAGCAGGTGACTGCATCCCAACATAAATCTACTCTGGTCTCTATGGAGACAGAGCATAGCTCAAAAGATAAAGTGAGAGGCTGTGGAGATGGCTCAGTGGTGAAGAGCACAGGCTGCTCTTTCCATAGGACCTGAATTAAATTCCCAGTACCATGATATAGCTCTTAACTGTCTGTAACTCATTAAGATTAACAACCAGTGTTGTTAACAGTGTTGGCATAACCAGAATGCACAAGATGACATATACTTAAGGGTTGGAAGACGTAAAATGTCAGCCAAGAATTCCATTTCTGGGAAATGTATTCTTTACGAACGCAGGAGAAATTGAAACTATTAAAACAAACAAACAAAACAAAAAAACCAAAAATATTTTTCAGTAGTTTTTGATTATATTTTCTTTTCCTCAGTGAATGAAAAAAATAACTGTATGAAGCTATAATTCTAAATTATGTTGGTAGTATGATGCTGTCTTTGATAACAGCAGCATAAGAAAGAACAGAGCTGTATATAAGAAAGAAAGTAAAGGAAGTAATGGAGATAAAGGTGAATAAAAACTCAGACATATAGAAAACAAGAGCAAACCAAACAAATTCGACTATAAGAAAGTCATCCAAATGTAAATGGGTTAAATATACTAATCAAAAGGAAAAGACTGAGGATAAATTTCTTACAAAACCATGGTCAAACTGCATGTTATCTTCTAACAAGCTGAAAGTAAACGGACATTAAAAAATGATATACTTTGCAAAAAATCAAATGAAAGCTGGCATAGCCACATTAATACCAGACAAAACTCAGTAAGGTAAAAGTATCATTAGAAATAAAGGCCATTTACTGACAGTAAAAAGATTAGTGTGAGACTATACAACAGTTACCTCTGTTGCATCTATCAACAGAACCTGAATACAAAGCTGACAAAGGATAATTATTCCTGCTACAGAACTCTGTTCAACACTAGATCATACAGGTCTCTCAGGTTTTGTTGTTCGTATAGAGGAATTTTAATCCAGCAATATGGCTACTCTGGCTGAAATAGAGACACATCTTTAATCCCAAAAGACAGAGATAAGCAGATCTTTGAGTTCAAGACCAGCCTCGTATAGAGCAAGTTTCAGGTTTAAAAACAAACAAACAAACAAAAAACCCTAAATCCAGACGTGCTGATACACGCCTTTAATCCCAGCACAGGATAGATAGAGGCATGCAGATCTCTGAGTTCTAGTCAGTTTTGTTCAGGTAGTTCAGCTGAGTCAGTGAGTTGAGAGGCAGTTCTGTTCATGGAATTCAGAGGCAGTACCAGGAGAGTTTTATAGAGACAGGTTGAAAAGACAAGAAGCTACAAGCATGTGAAGACAGCTGAGCGAGCCAGAGAATAAGAAGGAGTCAGAAGATTAGATTGGTAGAGTTTGAAGCCAAGTAGAGCAAAAAGTCAGAAGCTGAGAGAAACCAGTTTGAATCAGTCAGCTTGGAGAGGGGTTTGAGCCAAAACAGCTGAGTTGAACCAGCCAGCCAGAGTTCAGAAAGAACTAGAAAGGTTGAGCTTATTCAGCAGTAAGTTTCAGAGGCTAAAAACATTCTAGGCCTAGATTAGACTATATAGAGGCTAGAAGCTTCCAGGACTAGGCCTAGGTCAGAAAACGGAAGCAGTAAGCCTCCAAGACAACAATTACATCAAGTGAATAAAAGTTACTTTTACATGTTAGCTTCTATTACATAGTTTGTTTACTCACTTTCATAAGCATTGATGTGTATGACACAGCAGACAAAGCTGCACCATTAGGCGAAACTATGGAACTGATACATCTTGTAAGAGCTCCAGGTTTCACTGTGTCACATCAGCTCTCACTTAAACATAGTTCTAAGCATGCCTTAGCCACACATATTTGTAAAACTTTGTACTGAAAAGTGTTTAAAATTGAAATCTTTAGAAACAAGGTAGTGAAAATCACCTTGAGATTTTTCTCAAATTAGAGTGAAGTTATGCAAATCCAAGAATACGAACTATGACTTGAGGTCCACTAAACTTCCGCAATATGAATTTGAAAAGGGAAAAAGTAATTACTGAAGTCAAAACATGAAACCCCCCATTCAATGGCTGCGGCCCAGGGATGCTGTGCACACCCACCTTGTCCATCAGTTTACTTGCGTGGAGACTCAGGCTACTGAAGAATATTTTTTTGCTTAGCAAGTGCATTTCTTCAATTGTCGTCAGTAGAGTAGCTGCACTATTTCCAACAATGCCACTAAAAACAAAGCATATTCATTTCAGGTTGAAAAAAAAAAAGGCCAGCATAGTTCTGTTCACTGAGCACAGTGCTTTAAAAAGATCCAGACCCGGAGGCTGGAAAGATGCAAAATTCATAAGACTGATTGTTTTCAAGCTTGAGGGTCTGAGTTTGAACCTCTAGTACGCACATAAAAGCCATGTATGGCTGCATGTGCCTGAAACCCCAGCACTGGGGGTCCCAGGAGCCCTTTGACCAACCTAAAAGGGAAACAGGTTCTCAAGGGAATGAGGCAGACAGTGATAGAGGAAGTATCTATCACACTCTCCCCTGGCTCCTCATACAGTTTGGGTGTATGTCACACACATAAACATAAGCATATATACCACAGAGAGAAAAAAGGGGGGAGAGAGAGAGGAGGGAGGGAGGGAAGAGTAGAAGGAGGGTGGAGAGAGGAGTGGAGATATTGACTGAATGACTTAGGCTACAACAGTGAGAACTTGTAACAAAAACAAAAACAGATTTAAATAGGAATACATATGCATGTGTGTGTGATCTATAAATAAAAACAATCACTCTATTTTCATATGAAAACATCAGTTGTCTTTTCATTTGAGTAAGGAGATTAAGAAGGGAAAGAAGCAAACTAAAGTTTGAGCCCATAGCATGAGATCTGAAATGTGAAACTGTGTACATAATTGTTAAGAAGCTTCAGATTCTGAGGTCTCAGGATTTGGGTATGCAGATGAGTGAGATGTTGAACTGGTAAAGGCTTATATAACTATTCCACAGTTCTGGTCCCAAGCATTCTGGGTAAGGTTTGGTCAACCTGCACTGTGCTCAATATTTCATACTTTAGCAAGGCTGTTAGTCAGAACTGACATTTGTGATGTGCAAACACTTTCTTATCTAGCATAATGGACATGCATATTGCTTACATAGCAAAATCTGGTTTTAAGTTGAAGAAAGTCAAGAGTTCTTAGTGATTTGATAACTAGGTTGCATAATGTTGAGTTCTTGTAATTAAAACTAGCATATCTTATCAACAACAGATCTACAAACTATAGCTACTCAAGTCTATACAGCTGCCTAGAAAGCAGTGTATTTACACTCATTATGAAACTCTATTTTGAAAAATTATATTAGCATATTTGGTACTATTAAATTTTCTATTAAAAAAGAAGATTCTTAGATCCATCCAAAGTGTCTTCTCACTTTTTTTGCAAATAGATAAGTATGAATACTTATTTTCTTCACTGATACACTGAAGGGGATTTTAATTTTAATATTTTTAGATAAGACACATGGTTTACAATTCTATAAACTTATTTTTCTGGAGCAAAGATAAAGCTATGTCTATGTTATCACTCATGCAAAACTAAACACTAATAAAGAACTGAGAACACTGGTGTCCAGATGACACAGCTCAGTCATTGTGTTCTAGCTATGATGTGCAGGGCTCTAGTTGTCACAGATCTCATTTACTGATGCACAAAGGCTTACTCTGAAGGTCTACCTTGTTATGCGAGTTTTGGGTGTGTGTGTGTGTCTGTGTGCATCCTTGTGTGTGTGTGTGTGTGTGTGTGTGTGTGTTTTCTCTCTCTCTCTCTGTGGTCATTCATGGAGAAGAAAGGGGAGAATAAATGACATCCGCTACGGAACACAGGTACACTGAGCAAGCACACATGGTTAGTGATACGGACACTAAAAACAAGACTATGTCCTGACTACAGGTAAACAGGGGAGACAAGCACATTTGCTGTTTCAGTTACCTGATTGTATGGTGGTAAAACTTGAGGAGGTTAGAAATTTTATATAACAAAACAGCCCCAGGTTCAGCAAGGATTACTTGTTCGATTCGAACCTATGAAAACATGAAGAAAAAATTTCCTTAACATTTCATAGAAGTATACCTTTTCCTCATTAATGATGGGATATAAATAACATATACATACTCTATATACAATTTCATTATTGTAGCAATCACAAAATGCTTTCTAAATGCCACATATTAAGTCATGAGATACACATTTTAACATAAACTCTTAAAAAAAGTGCCTCAGTCTCTGCAACATTCAGCCTCCGTGATTAACAACAAAAGCCACAGCAGGGTCACTCTGAGGTTCAGCACCACTGTCTAAATAGAGCTAAGACTAAACTGTAGAAGCAACTGCAGCATTCCTAAAAACAGATGATTTAACAGTAACACTCATTAAAGAAAGAAGGAAAGAAAGACAGAGTTTGGGGGAGAGGAAGGAAGGAAAGGAGGAGAGAAAGGAAGAAAGGGAAGATAGAGAATTCGGCCTTGTATCACACTGTTCCTGTTAGCAGATACTAAGAACAGTGTCCAACTGTCCAACTGTAAGGCTAAGGGGACCAAGTCAGATTTAGCTGAAGAGGAACTTACTCTTTCCAGGAATCTTCTAATTAACTCCCACCACTCAGCTACTCTCTCCTTTAGTCTGTTACCAATGATGCTCAGACTATCTATTCTGTCTGTTCTTGAGCGGCTACTCATATGATTATCTTCCTGCTTTCTAAACACAGACAATGTTTCCTGCATCCTCCAATCTCTGCAGCATCTGGTACAACAGCGCACACAGCAGATGTTCAATAAGCCCTCTGAAAGTTGAGGTTTCTCTGTTCTTTGATTTCAGGATATAGATACTGTTAGCAAATATGACTGTATGTGTAACATTTAGTTATGGGCATTAATTTATCTTCACATCTGCATGTTTATGAAAGTGAATCTTCTTTGGCATGAGGCAACAAGAAACAACATTTACACTTAATAATCATCAATTTCCATATGAACACCTCTCTTGGTGTGTGTGTGTGTGTGCACATATGCATGTTGCATGCAGGTATGAGGACCCTTGCATGCCTGTAGAGCCAGCAATCTACATAAGCAGTCTTCTTTTTATCACTGTCAACCTTACTTGGAGCTGGCTGACTAGACAGATGCTCAGCAAGCCCAGAATTCGAATTGTATACAACATCACTAAGAATGTAAACATGGTGTTTTAACATCTTAACACAACTATTACACTATACGGGCATTAAACGTGGATGTGCTTTTCTGGGAAGATGGATGTATAACTCCAGCTCAGTTATCTGGCAATCTGTCTTAGAGAATCTATAGACATAAGAAAATTCTCATTTCTAGTCCCTTCAGTAAGAAAGGAGAATAGAAGGAATGGACATAGGAGGAAATAAAGAGTGAAGTAGGGAAGACAGGACAATGACAAAAGCCCACCTCTTGGAGCCCGGAGCTCTTGAGGGAGAAAGACACTCTGGGTGAAGTCACAGCAGAGACAGAATAAACAGCTGGAAAAGTGGAGAATGACAAATGGCACACAAGGAAATGCCCTTTCTCACAAAGGCCACAGAAGATGCCAGACATTCAGCAAAACTGAAAGTCTTAGGGAATACACAATTTTTGTTAAAAGAGAAAAATAAAACAAACAAAAGAAACTAAAACTGTGACAGCAACAGCAAGGGAAGTTAGAATGGGAAGGGTCAGGGAGGACAAGACCTTGGCAAAGCTTGAGAATAGATAGGGAACTCCTGGTACAGCTCTGACTTCTAAGTATTCAGTGAATCATGGTCCTCAGAGGGACAAGGGAGGCTCAGGCAGATGCTTGAAACACCGATGGGCTACAGGAAATGTAACAGCAGCAAAGCCAGGACATAGGAAATGGGGCAGGGTCGTTCCGTTAGTGCCAGAGCAAGCACTAACGTGGGACAGAGAGGACCAGAGATAGGGAGGAGGAGGAGATGAAAAGGAGAGGGGAGAGGGAGAGACTTCCGTGCTACCTAGGTTTTGATTAACTTGACAGATGCTGGAGTAATTTTGGAAAAGGGAACCTAGCTACCAGATTGGCTTGTGGACAAACCTGTGGTACATTTTTTGGTTGATGACTGACATGGAAAGGCCCAGCTCACTATAGACAGGTGCCACCAATAGACAGGTGGCTCTGGAATATATAACGAAGCAGACTGAGCCATGAGTGAGCAAGCTAATAAGCAGCATCCCTCTGTGGCCTCTCCCTCAACTCCTGCCTCCAGGTTCCTGCCCTGTTTGAGTTCCTGTCCTGAATTCCCTCAGGAATAGACTATGATGTGGAAATATAAGCAAAATAAACCATTTCTTTACCAAGTTGCTTATGGTCATGGTGTTCTATCTTAACAACAGAACCCTTAACCAAGACAACTTTCATCTTAATGAGTATTTTTTTTTAGTGATCTACTTGGTCTATCTCACTAATATAAAATTCATTCTTCTTGATTTTCAAGCAGCTAAACTTCTAATAACATGATAATAGATGTTTTGGCTATTAAGGAGAGTTATAGGAAAATAAAATTGGGGGATGGGTGTTGAGACAGGGTGTCTCTGTGTTGCCCAGACTGGCCCCAAACTTTCTGTGCCATTCAGGTTGGTCTCAAACTCAGTATCTTCCTGTATTAGCCCCCTAGAATGCTGGGATTATAGGTATGTGCCACCACATTTGGCAAGAACTTAATTTCACTCTTTTAATCTCTAGCAGTATACAAAACAAATAAATGTATATGATTGTGAATGTCTGAACATTGCACTGGCAGGAAGTATTCATTTGATGAAAGACATAAAATAATTTCAAAATACTTTTGTTATCACGTTATGATGATATTTGGGTTCACAAACATAATAAATTGTGAAAAGGCAGGTCATCTGAGGTTGTTTGCCTGCATCAAAACACCAAAGAAAATCTTTGAAATAAACAATGTTTAGCTCATGATAAATGATATAAAACTTAATTTCCACATACTGATGAGAAGTCAGTCACTACCAAGCTCTCTGTGACTCCCACTTTCTGTAAATGGAAAGACGTCTGTGGCAGGTGCAAGCTCTGGGAACCACGCACTGCGTCTGCCTCACTTTAGTGCCACCACTGTGCACTGGAGGCCCGTGAGAGCTGGACCATGTGAGTGAGTTACAGCACAGACATGCTCTGCAACAAGGGCAGAATGAGTTCTGAACCTGCTGACTCCAAATCCTGACTCTGCAGGGCAAGTAGTTTGGTAGCAATAGCAACAGGTAAGGATGTTCATATTTGGATTAATCATTTATTAGTATGATTACTATTAAATGTAGCATTCATAGCTGGGCGTGGTGGCACACACCTGTAATCTCAGCACTTGGGGAGGCAGAGGCAGGTGAGCTCTGGGCCAGCCTGGTCTACAAAGCAAGTCCAGGACAGCCAAGGCTACACAGGGAAACCCTATCTCGAAAAACAAAAACAAAACAAAGCAAAACAAAAGCATCACTCATTTGCTGTTTCAGCTGAATCCTTTTCCTTGCCTGCTTATCACTGGCACAGAAACCATAACCTATGAAGTCAGTCACAACTGTAAACTAGGGAATTCCCACTTTGGTTAAACTAAATTGATGGGTTAATTTGACAAAATATAGCTTGATTTAAAGTTATTACGTATCAATTTCTCTGAACTTCTGAAAACACATCAATACTTTGGTCAGATGCTGGAAAACACAATGAAGACAAAACCCTTTACCTTTAGAGGCCGGCACACGCCCTCAGTGATATGCCCAACGACTTCTTGAATATTTTCTTCAACACCTAAAATTAAATAGAACATAATTATATCTTACCACGTTATATCTGACTCTGTAAGTTTTAAGAACTATTACAGGTATTAATTAATGTCATAAATGGCCTTTAAAATAAAGAGCAGCATTTAAGTTCAGTGTCTTTGGGATATTACAAGTTGTAATTTGACATGTTTCTAGCGATGTTAGTAGTAACCAGCCTGTGTCTACAAAGTGCTGACAGTTCGTGCAAGTGATGGTTAAGAGGATGAACCATTTTTGTGACGAAGCTGAGTATGATGCAAAACAAACCCCCATGAGACCCCAGAGCAGGAAGAGGGAAGAGAAGGCGCCACAGGACTCCACATACGCCTTGCTTGAGGCCCAGTGTGGCACCGAGAACAGGCTGAAACCTGACAGCGCAACCCAAGGAAAAGCCGACATTGCTGTGAACTGATTACTGCCAAACACTACCAATTTGTAAGGTGAGGCAGACAGGCAACTACCTTCATTTTCAGAGCAAGGCTCGGAATTCCCCCAACTCTAACTTATCTTCAAGCTTCTAAACATTCTCTCATATGAACTTCTCTACAGGCATTTTCAAAGAAACACATCCCTTCTCTCTTTCTTTTTTTCCTTTGAGGAAGGGTCTTGGCCTAACTATGTTGCCCTGACTGGCCAAGAGCTCACTATGTGTAGACCAGGCCAGCCTCAAACTCATGGAGATCCACCAGCCTCTGCTTCCTGAGTGCTGGGATTAAAGGTGCGTACCACTATGCTCAGTCTGGAAATGCATTCTTTTAAAACTGGGTAATAGGATGGTAACAAAAGAAGAAAAGATACAGAGCGTGGCTGGTGTGGTGTTCCATGCTATATGAAGCAGGAGCGACAGGAGAAGGCCAGTCTGAGATGCACAGCATGGAAAACCATGTCTCACACAGACAAACAATGCAAACTTTGTACCAATCTAACACATGCTGCATCCAATCTCAGTACTACAGAGCTGAGTCTGTGACATCAAGTGTCACCAATTTGTGCATGGCTTCCCCCACAAACCACCTCAGGAGCCACAGTGATGTATGGCCACATTACAAACCCAGTCAGATGATACCAGGAATAGTATTTTCCTCTACTTCCTATCAAAACCAGAACATCGTTAACTTACACACTAAAACCCCAGCTCTAAAATAAAATAAATCTCTTATAATGATTGCTCTCAGCTACTTGAATAGATTTCAGAATTGCACAAATACTTGGATATATATATATATATATATATATATATATATATATATATATATATATATATATATATATATATGCGGGCATTTCTAATGTGGTTTAAATGAGGCAGAAGTGTGGACTGGGCCCAAATTGATTCAAACGGGAATAGGAACAAGAGTGCCTAAGGCCACCAGTTTATCTCTCTGCTGCTGACTGTGGTTCATTACAATAGAATACCAGCATCATCTCTCTCTGCTTCTGACTGTGAACCACTATGATGGAGGACCAGGTCAACTCTGCTTCTGACTGTGGACCACTGTGATGGAACACTATGATGGAGGACCAGGTTAACTCTGCTTCTGACTGTGGACCACTATGATGGAGGACCAGGTCAACTCTTGGCTTCTGACTGTGGACCACTATGACCGACCACCTCTCACCCCTGTTCTCATGTCTTCCCTACCACAATGGAACCCTTTCCTTCAGTCAGAAATTTTATCACAGCAACCAAAAGAAGTAGCTAATATACCTCTTAAGAAAGTTACAAATAAAAGCCAAGCGCAGTGGCACACGCCTGTAATCCCAGCAGTCGGGAAGGCAGAGGCAGGCAGATCGCTGTGAGTTCAAGGCCTGCCTGGCCTACAAAGCGAATCTAGGACAGCCAGAGCTATACAGAGAAACACTGTCTCAAAAAACAAAAAACCAACCAACCAAACAAAACCCAAAAGTTATAACTAAGAAAATTACAAATTTTATAGGAATCAACAACTCTGGAATATAGTCATTGCTCTCTCTTCAATCTCAAACAAACATTTTAAGCACCTGTGGTAATTATCAAGAGAAGAAAGAACAAAAAACAAAGAACTTTAGAACAGTCCTTTAAGAAAGAAAAGAGTCGGGGTGATACAAATGAACAATTACAGCTTAGTGACATAAGCAACACTCAGGCTGTTCACTGCATGCTCACCTCTCAGCCTGATGCTGAGGGTCTGAGGAATGTATGCGGGGCACTCTGACCATGTCTTACCTGAAAACAGCAGGGCAGTGGAAGGCAAGTGGACCCTAACCTTGAATGGCTGCGCAACAGATGACAAACAGAAATCTATTAGGCGCGTGTGTGTGTGCGTGCGCATGTGTGTGGTGGGTTGTCTAAGGACAACAAGATGTTTATATGCCAGCTAAGTGTGAAGTGTTTATCTCAATGAGGACAGAAAGGGAAGCACAGAAGCCGTGCACCCTGTCTCTATTGTGCTCTAACTGTCAGCACACTCACCCTGTGCAGTTACTTGCTTTAAGAGAGCTTCCAGATGTTCCTTCTCAGAGGCAGTAGCTTGATGGAGCCAGGCCAGCATATCTCCCACATACCTAAAGAGAACCACCTGTTAGCGAAGATGCCCAGGGAAAAGCGTAAAATCCTCTTAGTATCAATCACTATACCTTAAAGGGTCATGCGAGTGCATTTCAATGGGTCTAGGGGTACCTCCTGGCCCTCCTCTTGTGAGAGCATCAATAAACCCACGAACAACGGTACTTCGCCTGGCCGTTCCAAATTCATCTAACGTGTACCTAGAAGAAACACATGATGTGAGAAGTAGCTGCTTCCCACCAACACTCTGCACTCGATGCTGAAGATCAGCAAGACAGGAAGCTTGGTCAGGTATACCCTCCTCAAGCAGTACCAGCTTGCAAACTAAAAGTTACAAATCATTTTAGCATGCTGGGATTTCAATCAAGATGTACACATTTTACTCCTTAACAAAAGAATGCTCTGGACGAAGAGCAGCAGCAGCAGCAGCAGCAGCAGCAGCAGCAGCAGCAGCAACAGGAACAGCTGGCTTGTTCCATGGCAGCTAAAACATGATGCCCTAGAGATTACAGAAAGCCATAGTTCTAGCTGGTTAGAATTTTGCAGCAAAACATAAAGACCTTTTGTTTTTATTTTTTTAATATTACAAAAATTCTCATTATGTTACTATTACTTAGCCTAAAAAATGAGCCCAAAATTGCTAATTTTAAAAGCTTATTTTGACTCAAACAAGACATATCAGTTGTTCGATGCTGGCTATGTATGAACAGCAACGATCTTTTTTCTTACATTAAAAGTCACCCAATTATTGCTGAAAATGGGAGAAAATTTTTCCATTGTGGATGAACTGACAGGAGAAGGAAAGCTACAAAAAAGGTGATCTAGGATAAATCTGTAGAGATGGCTAGAATCAGCTCCTGTTTCCTAATATAACTGCCATTCTTTATGCTCTTCTTTATATTCTATACACAGCAAAAATTTTAATAATGTAAAGTCAGCATATTCCATAGCACAATTTTTTAAATCCCTAAAGAGTATTCTGATGGTGAAAATATTGGGAATGAATTCAATAGCAAACAAAATTTACCAGTTTCCCCAAGATGTCCAGGAGAACTACTTTTTTATGCTACATTGCTTTCTGTATGATGTTGTAGATGTAACAAAAACTCCATGTTTTGTTAAACATAAGAACGCTGTTGGATGCACTTATTACTGACATAATTTCCAACTGAACAGGGAGTGAACTGACAGATAGCTAGAGTTTTTGGGAACATGGACAGCTTCTGAGGACTGCTCACCCTAGTTCTGAGATCACTGTAGTACATCATAGCAGAGAGAGGGAGAATGCACGGATCAGACAAAGCTCTGCTACACCATACAATGTCTTTCTTACATTTACTTTCTACACTTTAAACTAAATTAGAACCAAAAAATCCACTTTTGTGTTCTTTCTTGTGCTCTTCAATCACGCATTGAAACCACTCAGTATTCTAAAGGGAGTATGTTTATCAGGCCTGGTAAATACTGGGATTTAACCTGTATAATTACATGAAGTCTCATTTAACATTGAAGTCAACCCTACTACAGGATAAATATAATTTCTGAAAAACAGCAGGAGGCAGAAAGAACCTTCAATGAGTCTTTATACATGGAGCATCCATCTCAGAGACAGATAAAAACAAAATAGGACTTTCCCAACAAAGATCAAAACTTCACAATGTAGCTTTTATAAGAGTGAATATTAAAAATACATAAATACTATAACCTTCTGGCCAAAAAGCAAATTAAAAGAAAAGAATACTGTCGAATCTCCTTTTTGGAATACAACACAAATTCATAAGAACTAAAGAAGAATCAGCTTCGTACAGGCCACCACCCTCTGGGGTAACTTGTACTCTTCAGGCTTACTAAAGATAAAAAGGTAGCAATTAGTTTTAAAAACTTCCATTTATACTCAGCCTTAAAAGCAGTATGTGTACATGGCTGCTCTGGGTTCATTTCTGCTGCTGCGATAAACACCGCCACCACACTGACCCACAACTGTGGAGAGGAAGGAGTTTATTGTAGTTCACGGTCTGTCTTCAAGGCAGGAACTGGAAGCAGGTCACAGCACACCCACAGTGGAGTGAGAAGAGGTACCTACTGCATGCTTGCAGCCTCATCTGATGCTTTAGCTTCACAAGCCTCCTTCCTTCCTGCACAGCTCACACCCAGTCTATGAAATGGTGCCACCACATCCAGGTTAGTCTTCCTTATCAATTAATAGTCAGGCCAAGCCTGCCCCACCCTGGCATGTCCATCGAGATGAGGATGTCCAGCCAGATGAGGATTATTCCTTCTTGGGGCTCTCTTTCCAGGTGGTCCCGTGTTAACAATGAAAACTGACAGGTACAGTGGTTTAGTAATATAACACATCACCATTACAGTCACAACGAAGAAACACAAGCTAGGCAGCATGCTCAAGGACTTCAACTGACATTTTCTTGTGAGCGATGCCTATTCTCCAGAGGACCACATACTGCTCAGATGGTGAAGTTCATACACTGCCCCCTGCTGTGAAGAAACAGGAAACACCCCACAGCTGACGCTGGCATGACTTTTCCCTTTCTTAGCATTTACCACAGCCTAACGAGTGGCCTACTTTCCTACTCAACTCAACCTCCAACATCTCTCACCACCTTCCAGAGTTTATCACTACCCTGTTGGTCCATGCTTTGAGAAGAACAAATCTTTGCGTCCTTGCTTAGCCACAGCTTTCTGCCCGCCTTCACATTAGTTAGAAATGTCTGACACTCAGTGACGTGCTCAGCACTAATTAGGCACCTACTGAAAGGAGCCCTCTACAGCCTTGGAAAACAGGCACCATTACTATCCTCATTCCACCAACTAGGAACTAAAGCACACAGAGGCTCAAGAGCTCAGCCAGGATATCTGACCCAAAAATCCACCCTAAGAGCTCAGTGCCTGAGGTCTGAGGAGACAGTTCATCGATAGAGGACCTGCCACACAACCATGAGGATCTAGATTCAAGTATCCAGCATCCAGGAAAAAGCCAGGCATGACGATGCACACTTGAAATCACAATACTGAGGGAGTAGAAACAGAGGATCCCTGCAGCTCGCTGGCCAACTGGTCATTCAGAATGTGTGAGCTCTGGCTTAAGTGAGGGATCCCACCTCACAAAATAAAAAACAACAATTATAGCAGCAATAATAATAATAATGACTATGATGATGTTCACTGGCAAGACACTGAATACTGACCTAAGATACAGGTAGTCTAGGTGCCCATCAACAGATGAATGCATTGAAAATGTGGTACATACATAGCCCAGAGCATTAACAACCACAAAGAAGCACGAAATCTTCCCTTTGCACAAAAGATGTCATTTTAAGCAAAGTAAGCCAGACAGATAGCCAAGTTTAGCAAATTGTGAAAACAATCCCTACCTCTAAAAACCCCTGCTCTGAAGCAAGGCCTACCAGGAACAGAAGGTAGGCAGGGGAAGAGAGCCAAGTAGATGTTACCAACACACACGGGGTGCCTGTATGGAAATGATCAGTGAAGGCACTGAAAACATTACCTCTGAACCAGGATAAACCTGCAGCCGATGCAGCACTTGCTTAACCCAAGCACAAATGTGCAAGGACTCAAGACTGTGCTGAGCACTGCCAGGACGATCAGGTGGAAGGGAACAGCAAGGCTACAAAGCTACGGATTAAAAGTCAGCACCAGCTTGTCACAGATGCACACCAGCTCGCAGCCAGGTCTCACCACCTTCACACCCACTATCTATCCAAGTGGAATAACCTGCTTCTCCCAGGAGCCACCTCTTCAACACTATTTCCCTTAGGAAGAGCATCCTGATGGTCATTGCCCTCTCTTATCTCAGGACACATGGCACATACACCTGGAACATGGCATTCAGACTGCTATTAAAATCGATTTGTTTAGGTGACATTGTGGAGTTACAGGAGTATGAGGGAAGCATTGATTGATGCTCTACCCTTTTACTCCAAACAGGGCCTACCCGGTAACATGAACTTGTAAGTTATGGGACAATGCTGACATTTCAAACAGCACCCTGGCACAGCATCCATGTTCTGTGATGTAACCATGTAAACATCCACGGAAGGGGACCCTCCAAGGGGTGGCTCTGCATGAACCATGGCCATCTCCCAGAGCATCAACACTTGCTGTCCTTACGGCTGGCTTTTACTCTGCTCCAGAGCTTTAAAAATGCACTGACTTTGGTTTTATGAGTACTATTAAGATACAGAATTTAAAAATCAATGCACAGGGCTCCCAACCAAAGCATTAGTCTGAAGATCTTGGCTGGCAAAGTTACAAAATCAAAGACCTGGACATTAAAAAATGGCCCACTGATAAAACCCTGACTATGAATATTCTTTTTTCTTCTCAGAGTATCTATATCATATCATACAATACATGACTGTCTTCTCTCAGGGCTGTGCTGCTCCAGGGGTTTTAGTAATGAACGATTCCAAAAGAGTTAATGATATGGCAAACTGGCTAAGCCACCTGGCTGCCACCTAACTAAAGACAATCATACTGCAGGGACACCTTGGTCTTCCTTTACTACATTCAGCATTCACAGAACCTGGTGCTCCACAGACACACACTGAGAAGTGAAGTATCACCGAGCATCACTGTTAGACACGAATTTGATACTACCACAATTGAGGTAATGATTAAAGGCAAAGCAGCATGTCTTACTTGTACAAGACAGGCCTGTCCTGCAGGGCTTCCATGGCCTGGGTTAAAACTACAGACACATCACAGGACTCTTGAGTCAATGCTCTGCATTCACCTGGAAAATAATCAGCATTATAACTCCTGCTGTCTGTTCACACTGCCAGCGCTTTTCTTCAGGAGCAATCACTACTTTATTTTGTGCCTGTTTTAACTATACAGTGCTTGCAAATCCCTACCATGTTCAAAGAACTGAAAACTTATTGACTGAGAGATGCTGAGGCACCTTAACATGGCTCCACTATCCCCGGGAACCAAGGCTGCACAGCTGGCCAATGCTAGCTTGGATACTAAGGGAGCACAAAGAAATCTAAGGTAATGTCCCACCTTTGAGGAAGTGGATTCCAGCCACAAGGATATGACAAACATGGAAAAAGTTGCATCACAAAACAGCAGCAAGTCAATGCATGCTAATAATCCCACTGGCTGCCTCTCAGTGACGGCCACTGCATCACAGTGGGCCTGTACTTCAGGGGCACTTGGAACCTCACACTGTCTTGAAGACTAAGACCTGGACACAGAGAGGGAAAGAGCAGTCCACATGGGAGCAGACCGTATACACAGGAAGAGGTAGAACACAAGGAATCTAGACCTTACACCAACAAAGCAAAGGACTAGAGTGCAGTCCAGTGTTATACAGATACATCCAGATAACGAGAGAAACTCCAGCCTTCACACCAGTCGGCTGTGCTAACTACTAACCTACTAACACTGCACACTCACACTCCATTATCAATTAATGTAACTGTCTTCCCCGATTTAACACACTATTTTGCAAACATTAAACTAAAACATTTAAAAAGCAAAGTGTTTTAGTCTATCTTGTAGGACTTCCATGGCTTAAATCAACATTGGAGACATAGCACAGGACTCTCGTATCTAGGAAATAACCTCTGAAGATACCCACACTCAGGTTTCTGGCAGCTGTGAGTGTTACTGCTTTAGGTGGCAAGAGGAACATGCAGATGGACTGAAAATAAAAGGCCTTGACACTGGGGTGTGTTCTCACACTGCCTAGTAAAAGGTAATCACATAGCCCCTAAATAGAAAAGAGGCCATGAACTATCAGAAATAGGAAATGGGGAGAAGAAAAATGGAAGTGACTTGGGCAGACATGTGGGCTGTGAAGATGGGAGAAGACACTGATGAAGATGGATCACATAAGAAAGCAAGCTAGTGAAAGCCCCAGTGACAGCGAGCAAGGCAAGCTCAAGACTTCGTTCTTACAGCCGCAGCCAAACCAACTGGTCTAACAAGTGAACTACAGAGGGACAGAAGCACCTGAACAGGCCAGCCCAGCACGGTAATGGTACCATGGCGAGAGCCAGGCCTAACTTCTGACTGACTGCTAAGATGACATAGTAATCACTGTATCTCAGTCTGTGGTGACTTCTCACAGTGGACTAGAAAATTAATTCATCACTTACAACATTACAGCTACATAAATAGCAAGAGCTGCCCAATCAAACACTGCCTTTACTGTTTTCCTTTAGAGCAGAAACACTTTTCACTTCTCTCCCTCTTCAGCGACATTCCTGATAAAAACAATGACTGTATGTGAACATGTAAAGTTTGCTCTGCTTTGTAAGAACTATCAGTTAGAGACCGAGAGCACACGATGCTCTGGCAGAGTTCAGTTCCTAGTACCATGTGGGAGGCTCAACACCATGTATGACTGGAGCTCCAGGGGAACCAATACCCTGTTCTGGCCTCTGTGGGCACATGAACTCATGTGCATACTCTACACAAATAAAAACACTTTTCAAAAAACCAAAGGAAGGCCAAGTGAAATTTTAAGAATTAAATACCAATATACATAAAAAACAAACAAACAAACAAACAAAAAAACAAAACAAAACACTTACTTTGAGCCCATCGATAAAGTCTTTCATAAGCTGTTTCCTGAAGCAAGGCCATCTGTTCCATAATCTCCAAACTTAAGTGAAAATTAAAGAGTTATTACAATGTAAACTTTAGTTAACAGTTGTATCTAAGGATTTAATTATTTATATTTAATCACATAACAGTTTGGCCCTTATTAACTTTTTGTCATTTTATGGAATTTTTCAATAATTTTTTTTTTTACAGTTCAGTAAATGCCAAATTTTAATTCCATCAGTTAATTCCCACTGTTCTTTCAGTCAAGCATATTATAAATTTCCACCTTTCCCAAAGACAAATGAAGATTGAATTCCTATTTCAAAGAACATAGTTTCAAAAAGAACCTAGAATGCTCTAAAAGTTTACAAATGCAAGCAGCAGTGCAACTGGTTTACCCAGCACCTACTCACCCTGCTGTCTGTTGGTTGGTTCGCAGAAGAACTTTGACATCATTATGAATCTGTTTCACTCTTCCCAACGCCTTGAAAAAGTCCTTTAAAATTAAAAATGTCATTAAAAAAACTGTGTTTTCAGGAAAAACTATACTAGTCTAAATTAAAAAATCACTACAAAGACGAAACAAAACCCTACCTAATGAGTCTTTCACAGCTTTTGACTGTGGTTTTATAGAAGGCATGATGCGTACCTACTTCTGCGCATTTTAAGGCTGACACTAATTACCATGTAACAAACAGTGTGCTAGTTACCAGCGATAGATAATCTGTGAAGACTAGGCCCCTGTCCTCAGCAAGCACACAGTCGAGTGAGAGGATACCCAGGAACAGCCTAGCCCTGCAGTCACTTATGTCTCTGCCACAGATACATTCCTGCTCCCTCACCAAGGAACAAAGAACGTAAGACGCTCACTAAACAGACAAGACTCAGCTGGAAAGGCTTGGGAGTTAGGAGACAGAAAGAGTCCTTTCTGGACAAATTGCAGGACTTTAAGGAAAAAGAAGACAACAGCCTTTGAGAGGTTTAGCTCTGTCATTCAGTCTGCAAAGTGTTGCTAGGCATTAAAACAGAGGAAAAAACAAGAAAACTCCAACTTAAAAAAGATAAAGTTATGAAAGAAAACATACACAATGTCTCATTATCCTAATGAAAACGGGAATAAAGAGCGCATGTATATGCAGCCTTTACACTCAAAACGGCGATTTAAGAAGCTAAATCCTTGCATTTCCAGGTCAGAAATATCCTATGTAGATTAGGCTGGCCTCAAACTTCAGAGATCTGCCAACCTTTGTTTTCTACATGCTGGAATTAAAGGCAGGTGTGTGCTACCACATCAGACTGATAATCAGAAAAAATTATTTTAAATATAGAACTAAAAATACAGTTTGCACAAGGAGCAGTTAACAAGTAAAACAAGTTCATGAAGTATCAGAGGTGGAAAGACCAGGTGGTAGTTATGTTGTGCTCTAACTTAAAACAAAACAAAAATACATGTGTAACTTTGAAATAACCCCTCCAAACTAATTAAAATATATGCCTTAATTTCGTATGTAGAAATGTCTCCACATTGAATTTTTTTTAGATGGGAAAGTTAAGCTTTTAAAATTGCATCATCCCTGTAGCACTTATAATTACTACACTCTAGGTGACCCTGACAGACATGTACCTCAGTAACGGGGCCTCCTCTTGTGCCCCGGAGAAGACTCATTTCATCAGAAGTCAGCTGGAACTTGGATAAAAAGGCATCTGCAACTTGTGCTCTAATTTCTAATCTTTGGCTGTAACAACAAGAAAAACGAAGTATATTACACTGCTTTACACTGCTACAAGGCCAACAACATCCCTGACAGAGTATCTTACAGAACAAGACAAAGCTGTGAGAGACTCTCAACAAGACAGCCTTGTTTCCACTGCAGATACTGCAGGGTCATCAGCAGGCATGGGATGAAATCATTCAACGCTACCAGGCACGCAGGTGACATAACTAGCTTCAACTGCTCCGCCCTGCTTATCTGCATATACTAAAAGGTACTGTTCATCATGTAAAGCAAGAAATACATTAACAAATGGCGCCTGTACCGATTTACAGTCTCTTTCAGAGTCTATTTTCTGAAACATAAATACGCTCTTGATTTTAAACAATTTCTCTTATTTATAATATCCTGATGAAGAGCTTAAGATAGCCTGAATATAACTCCATTTTGAAATAAAGATCTTGATGGGAACTGAATTCAGGTACCAGGAAATATCACAGAATGTACACCTGGCAGAAAACAAAGTTAACTCTCCTAGCAAAAGCCTCCAGGAAATATAACAGAATAAATGCTTCATAGAAAATAGAGACAAACTCCCTGGCAATAATCAATGGGAATCAGTTGAGAATCGGGTGGGAAAATTCTCCCCAATGTTTCAGATATGGTTTAGAAAAATAGCCATTGTGATTATATGCCTTAGCTATTGTGATTATGTGCCTCAGAAAAGGTCACCCCGCCCTGCTAAACTTTACCCAATTCTGTAACGCCAAGGCTTGTGCCCCCCTGCTTGCTGCCATGGAAACCCCCGGCTCACAGACTTTCCCTTTAAAAATCCTGTTCACTCAGAACTCGGGTCCCACTTCTCTACTGCTGCACCAGTGAGACTCGGGTCCCGAGTTCGATCGCTCTCGTAATAAAGCTCTCTTGTAATTGTATCGAGTCGTCTCCTGGTGGTCTCTGAGGGTCCCGTGAACCTGGCATAACACTAACATCTATGTTTTCAAGTAAAACACACAGCAAACAAAAATCAGTTGTGTGTTTGTATTTTAGCATGGCAGGGCAAACACTCGTTAAGTCAAAAAGATGAATTTCTACTCAGGCCTTCCCCACTTTTGATAGCTGTAACTGTTTGTCAACTTAACTAAAAATTAACTAAAACCCAGATAACTGACCATACCTGTGAGGGATTTTTTTTTTTTTAATTAAATCATCTGAAGTGGAAAGACTCACTTCTAATCTGGATTTTTGAGGCAGGAAGATACACCTTTAATCTGGACCATGCCTTCTGCTGGCAGCTCATATAAAGGACATAGAAGAAGGAAGCTCTCTCTTTGCCTGATGGTTCCACCCTTCACTAGCAGACTACTTATTCAGATCCTAGTGTATACTGAAGACCGGCTGAGACAGACAGTCTCGTGGACTGAACAACTACTGGGTTCTTGGACTTTCCATTCATAGGCAGCCATTTCTGGATTAACCGTAAGTCATTCTAATAAACCCTTATCTGCACAGAGAGATGTATCCCATAAGTGCTGTTACAATACAGAACCCTACTATCCTACTCTCTCTACTTGACAATAAAGACAATATTGTAAACTATACAATCTGGATGTAACACAAGAGGGCTACTGGCAATTAGGAAAAGGCACACTCCAGAGCAGAAGGCAGTCTGCAGTGACCAAGGGACTGGCAAGGGTTTCCATTTAAAGGCCAGTCACTGCCTGAGCTCCCTAAGCAGCAACTCAACACTTTGGTGTCTGTCTGAACCTTGGATCTGCAGCTGCATAATGGGCACACAGCTGGGCACAGTGGCACACAGCTGTGACTTTAACACTTGACAGGCAGAGAGAGAGGAAGACTGCAAATTTGAGGCTGGAGTGTGTCTGTGGTGGATCCCTTGGCCAGCACATAAGCAACATCCTATATTAAAAGATTCTGTTGAGAATTAACAAAGATGAGCATAATCTTCATGCAGAACATGTCTACGTTCTGTTCCTTGTATTAAGTTGAAAGACTTTAAATTTACCAAGTCAAAGTCTATGTGATGAACAACACAAAATTTTAAAAGGGAAACAATATCCAGGTATTTAATTCAAACAATAACGTAATTTCTAATTAATTCTACACAGACCTCAAAGGTGTCAGTTAATGGATTTTAACTTTTAGATAGAGGGGCAACCCTCACCACACAGGTTTAAAAGTAATTACAAAGTGTCATAAAAATCCTTGAAACAATAGAAATTAACTATTTTACTAACAACTGTTTTTTGAGCTATTTTTAGACTTATTTTCAGTATTAATTATCAGGCACAAAGCAGAATCGATCTCCCTGTGGTTTCATTAACTGAAGTGGTGCTCCTGCCATCTTAACTGGTCATATACCCTACCATAACAATTGATTCCAAATACCGGATAACCTCTATTCCAAAACCAAAATGATCTCTCAAACCAAGAATGAGGCATAATGTTCCAAATGACTGTTTTCATGTTAAAGTTGCTGTTAGTATAGCTTGGGAGCTTATGTCCTCCGTGAGCCTTGAATCACACTCTACATTATTTCCATTTTAACTTAGCACTATTTATAACTTTCTACTTACTCTGCATTAATGAGGAGGTGATGGTTCAAAGACAAACTTACCTTTCTGCCTGAAGCTTAGTAGTCTTTACTATTAAATCTTGAGTCTGTTCTTTTGCCGCCTAAAATTATAAATAAACCGAACATTAGAAAATTCCAACTTCATTATATTTTGTAAGAGTAATATTACCACTTTCTGGAGTTCAGACAAATGGCAAAGAGCTCAAAAGGCCCAAGTAATTGGCACAGAAGTTTCATGTTTATGAACTATCTTTCCAGCAGGCACTCTCTCAGAGTTCTCAACACACAGGGTGCTGGAACTCAGAAGACCCGAATGCTTTCTCGTGAAGCAGAAACACTGCGAGAGCAAGCTAAGGTAAAGAACACGGCTTCAGCTGTGGTGTGGTGAGCTGCACAAAAGGAGACCACTAAATGAGACTGCAAATTATGTCACTGGAATATAGCCATACAAAGTTCAACAGTGCAGGTGATGGGAATCACATCTCATAGCCAGAAAATACACGACTTGAAGAACAGGCCCCAGAGACAGACCTGGTTGCTCCCACATGAGTTTCAGCCCCAGCAATGCGTGGGCAGCAACACTATCCAAAGATGAGGCAGCCACCTATGAAGCAGATTCCAACAAGGCACAAGTGAGCCCAACAAGACTCCAAAACCCCAAACTACAGAACATGAGAAAGGTAAGACAACAGCAGCTGTGAGATGGCTCAGTGGAAAGGCTAACCCTGGTGACCTGTGTTTGATCTCTAGAACCTACACCGTAAATGGAGAGAAACAACTCACATAATTGTTCTCCAGCCTAAACACAGACACCACGGTGTACACACACACACAGAATAATAGACAAATGTAATAAAAGATTTAAGGCAACATCAATGAAAGGAGACACAAATGGCAAGGGTGGGTCCATGCCCTGAAAAGACACTGAGCCAGAGTTATCAACAATTGAAGTCATTAGTAAGTGATCGCTGTACAGTACACCTTAACAGACAGCAACACATGGAGCAGAAGCGAGTCAGTCACTAAAGGAGAAACAAGATCAAAGACCTCAAGAGAATGGGTCCTTTTCACGTTGGAACATTACTCCGATGAGCCCAGCCTGGTTGGTCAGGGTCTCTAAGACTGAAGGCAACTACGGCCCTGCCTCCTTCCTGCAAATCCAACTCTCAGTGGAAATTCTGTCATTCTCCTTCCCAAGCATCCTGTTGTGGAGAACAACTGCCCTGACCCTCCAGTGATATTTTTAAGACGGACTTGAGTGGAGATGGTTCCATGTCACCAGCTCTTAAAAGTACTGCTGAGTGGGGCAGCTCAACACACTGAGTCTCAAATGCCTGTACCACGTGATGTTTTGCTTTTAAAGTTTAACTGCCACCCTTTTGTATTCTAATACTAAGAAAATTTATCTTGTAAAGACCCAGCTTAATCCCCAATTAAAAGCTCATCCCCAATTAAAAACAGAACCTGAGGAAAATTGGTACTTTAATTATATGGTAAATTCTGTGTAGAGAAATTCATAGTTTTGAAGCATTTGCTATTTTCCTCTAATTATCTGATACTTGTCCCTGAAGAACTCGTTCCTAGAGGATTCTGGCAGCAGAGACTCACCCGCATTCTACAGCCACCTCTGCACTTCTCAGACGAAACAAGGCTCTTGCAGTTATCTAGTATTAAGAAGCAATCACAAAAAGAAAAACAGGGCAATCCTGTGCTTGGACTCTTTCATAAACATAACATTTGCATACAGACTTCCTACACAGCATTATGCGTCAAATGTGTATACATTTCTGAAACCTCACCTCTACCAGATGCTACTACATTAAAATCCAGCCACTCTGGGGTACCTGTAAGCGACTTGTCATGTCCTGACAACAGCTGCTCATTGCTTGGACATCTTCATTGATGCTTTCAAGTTCCTGAAATAGGAGAAAAAAAATCAACTACTGTATTTAGCATAAAGAAAATTTTCCTTCTTAGGCCAAATCCCAGTTTTTGTTGTTTTGTCAAGGTGCAACAAAAGATTTTTGTAAGATTCATTATTATATACAATAAATAGCTGTCAATTAAAGACAAGAGAATCCATATTTCAAATTGGAAATTATTAAAAAGAGTAATACTTGAGAGTGTTACTAAGGTATAAAGGAACTGGGCCATTTCTTTTAGATGGCCATTTCTTCAACAGATGGATATCTGTTTACATGGCTTAAGAACATAAGAATAACTACATAGGTAGTAAATATATTATTACATATAATTATGTATGTATAATTAGCTAGACAATAACTATTCCAAATTTATATGTAAAACTGTATATATACAATATATGTGTATTCACAGACATAATTTTAAATATAAAAAATTGTAGAACAAAATAGTAAATGTGCAGCAACATGCGCAGCACAGTCAGGGGTTCTCTAAACAGAGGGAAACGAAACACTTCAGCACACAATGGGAAGGGTGTGCAGGTCAGCAACTGTGCTACGCCACTGCTTTCCAAAGACACCCTCGGAAAGCCAAAGACTCATAAAAGCACACACAGTACCGCATCACTTCCTTTAAAAAAATACTTTTACTTTCAAAGTATGGGAAGGCAACTCAAAACAACATGGTGGTGTTACATCACCCCTACGAAGTACTCTACCAACTGAGCTACACACATAGCCCTATTTAAAGTTTCCATTTCTTCTCTTCTTTTTAATGTATGGGTGCTCTGTCTGCATGTACACCTGCAGGCCAGAAGAGGGCATCAGATCCCTTTACAGATGGTTGTGAGCCACCATGTGGTTGCTGGGACTTGAACTCGGGACCTCTGAAGGGCAGCCAGTGCTCTAAACCACTGAGCCATCTCACCAGCTCCTCTTTTTAATATTTGCTGAATTACATAATTCTACTCATTGAACAAAACTATGGCTACCAAATATGACAGGTACACAATAAGTATGTGTTACAGACTTTCGATGCTATGAATGCTCATTACTGTTCAGCACTCATCAGCTCGGGGCCATTCTTGCCTCTTCTGCCTGCCCACTTCTCCCATCCTTGCTTCCTCTCTCCCTATCAGCTGAATTATTCTCAGGCAACTCCAAATGTGACTTTACCCATGAACTCACCTTTATGTGGTTCTGAAGAGACTAAAAAGCAGACTGTCACTCAGATTTAACAACCATCTTTTTTCTTGTCTTTTTGTACCCAACCTGGCCTTAAATTCACAATCCTACATCAGTCTCTGACATTATTAGCCCTCACTCAATGAAATCCTACTAAGCACTTGAAAACTGTTATATCAAGTCTTTGCTAAAACAATGTAGATCACTTCCACCTGGTCAGTATATAGCAATACTAACAATATCACATTATTAATGAAATATACAATAAACGAAACATACAATAAATAAATCACAACACAATAAAGATCATTTATTTTCATCTTATGTTTTAATAAACCACAGTCAAGTATGCTGAACTATTATTCATGTTAAAATAATCATCTTGATCTGGAAATTACGTATTTTAGGAGATGAGAAGAGTTAACTCAATACTAATCAATTTCCAATAAGGAAGTGATCAACAAAGGGAGTGCATTAAATGAGAAAATATTTCCTTTGGAAAACCATTGAAAGAAATGTTATTTTTATTAAGAAATTACAATTCTTAAGACATAAACATTTTAACTTTAACAGAGGTAAAAAAAAAAATCCAGAAATGACAATAACTCAAATAAAAACAGAGTTAAGCTGGTTTTTATCTGACCACTGTACATTATCAGATAACACTGCAATTTAATTTTGAAAAAATACTTATCAAAACACCAAACACGGCTCTTCATGAACGCTAAATGAAGTTACATACCTCCTTCACTTCTTTGAAAATGCTTACAAATTCCTCATTGATGGCCAAGCTCCTACGCTCAATATCGCCGCGTAAGTTTCTTCGAGTCCGCAAACTATTTTCAACAAAAAAAGCCGAAAGAGCCTTGAGAGCTTCCAACATCTCCTACACAAGCGACAGCAGAAGGAAATCACTGGGGTTGACTCTCAAGTGGTTTCCTCATATCCAGCCAAAATCCAATGAAATTATTTTCGATTGGCTTATCCCCATTAAATAACTCAAAAAGTAATGCCTGACTTTCAAATTACTAAGCAGTAAACGTACTTCCAGGACACAGTAACAGTATACTTACTCGTAGCGTATAACCATAGATATACAAGGTGATACACAGCAGAGGTGCTTTGAGTTTGAATGTATACTGTTTTTAAAGAAAACAATTCTTCCTTTTTCATTTTTTTAAAAGTTTAATTTTATTTATTTTACATCCCCTCCCTCTTCTGGGATTCAGAAAGTTGTTATTGATCAGTCCCACGGCAAATCACACAAATCGGCGACCAACACGTTTTTGTTTTGTTTCGTGGGGCGGTGGATGGTTCTGAGAGCTTCTTCTCGATGCAAACCCTGAGCTTGTTATCCCAAGCTGTTCTAGCCAACCCACGTTTTGTAGCACGTCACAAACCTATCCAGTCCTGGGCCTTGTTTCTTACTCCACATTTTAATGTTTTGCTTTTAACACGTCGGGGTCAAATTCTCGTTGACACCTTATTTTCACTTAACCATATATACCGGTAGCGTTACAACTCTCACATTACTTTATTTATTTATTTTTCCTCTGTGCCACGTTGGCACGGCCACCCTACCTGGCTCCTCAATGCTGCAGAGGTGACAGCTCTGACAGGGCTGCGGAAGTCCTGTCCTAGACGTGTTGGGGAGGGCGTGTGGGCCGTGCAATTGAAAAGAACACAGCAAGAGCCCACAGCCGGTGCACGGCTAAGAGCTAAGGCCGGTTAAGGCAGGTAGGAGTGTCCCTGCTCCCGGGACAGCAGCGCCGAGCCGGGAAGGAAGTCCCCACTCCGCGGCCCCGCCCCCCGCCGTTACCTTGTCATTGTCCAGCCGCGTCTCCAGGATCTTGTGCAGCTTGCGGGACAGCGGGTTGTTGGGCTGCGCCGGAGTGGCGCCTGCCCCATTGCTGCTGAGGCCATTGGCGGCCCCGGACGCGGGGACCGCAACCACCTCGGCGTTGGCGTCCGCCATGGCGAGTAGACCCGAAGCAACCGGAGCACTGCGCATGTGCATCTCCTGCGCATGCGCAGTCTGGCCGCGCTTGCGCGACGGGGTCTGTCACGCACCACCGTGAGGTGTACTTTAAGTCCTGGCAGCCAGGGGAGAGCACACGCTCCGAAGAGAAGAAATTGGAGGACGTAAAAGAGACTTCAGGAATGCCGGACTCACGAAGTGGTTATATGAAAAAAAAAAAAATCGTCAACAGAACTGATTCTAATTAAATTCCCTTTATCCTTTTACATGTTCAGATTCACGTTATTGCCCTGGCCTTGGCAGCAACACCCTCACCATGATATGTTACTGGGCACAAACATGGAAAATTTCAAACCTCTATATTCTAATCCCTAAAACCTGCTTTAGTCCTTTTCAGCTGCTATCGCAAACTACTCTAGACTTGGTAGCTTATGAACAACAGAAATTTATTGCTCATTGTTCTGGCAGATGAGAGGTTCAGGATCAAGGTATTAACAGCTCTGGTGTCTGCTGGGGTCCCTTTCTGTGTTCATAGACTGATGGGCTTGTGCTGCTGACCTCATCTGATAGAAGGGAGGGATGAGCTGGCTCTTTTCTAAGACCACAAATAACTTTGCCCTCATGTTCTACTCACATCTCAAGCTTCAGCCTCCAAACATTAGAGGCCAGGAACTCAGTGTCTAAATTTTAGCGAAACACGAGCATTTGAACCATAGCACCACTTTTCCAGGGATGTCAGACCTTGTGAACCTTATCAACTTCTATATGTCCTTTAAAGTCCTCCCAAATAACTCTCTTCCCACCACTTCTTAAAAAGAATTGATTAATCCCCCATGTGAAGTCCATAGCAATAAAAGCATAATTCCTATTGTAAGTTCCTCATTGTTATGTGGGGGCTTAGAGCCAACACAACTCAAACACCAGGTTAATGCAGATGACAAAAGTTTATGGAATTGATCAGGATCACAGAAGAGACTTGTGAGCTGAACTTTGAACTCCCTCGCCCTACCCCCAATTTCCACCCCTCACTCCTACAACACCCCCCAGCCAAAATGTTACAGAGCTTTTAAGCTTGAAAACTGTAAGCATCTGAGCCAAGTTAGCATTAAATTTTTCCAAGAATCAGGATTTAGGGATAAGGGCTTTCTTATGTGATCTATCTAACCAATCAAATCCGTTTGTTCTTTTCTGGTCGGAAACACAGTCAGTCACTATATTTGGGAAACAAAAAATGAATGACAAGTGGTTAAGAACAGTCATCATGAGTAACAGAAGCTGGTCAGTTATTGGGGAGTGTCCAGCTCTCTCTGGACCTGGGAACTAGAACTTAGTTTCATCCTGTGACTAAAATGTAGACTGAAGGCAAAATGGCAGTACTTAGGACAGGTTGTTTGTTTGTTTGTTTGTTTTTGCTTGTTTCCAATACTCATGATTTATAGAAGACATTGTTTATGTTTTTGTTCAGTATTTGCATGAGAAGGACTGTTGAGGGCTGGTCTGGTGCCATGTTTTCAAATGCTGATTTCAGTGCCTTGGGATCTGGTTACTGCCCTGCCATGGGCATTGTTATTAATGTTGAACTATCTCCTGTACCCATATGATGAGAAGGAATGATCTCCAGTTATTCCTGATTGGCAGGTTAAAGGCTTGTACCTGGACAGGGCATAACGAGGCAGGTGTAGCTAAGGTTCACGAGCTTTGGGGACAAAATGATCATGAGAGAGAGAAACAGGAGGAGGAAGAAACACCTTGCATGGCTTAGCGTGGGGTGAAGCACATGGCCAGCATGGATGGAGAAAACAGCCTAGATGAGAGAATAATGAAGTAATTATGGAATTATGGACGGGAGGTAGCCTGGGATGGAGCTGGGAGGTAAAGGTAGTTTAGAGGGTTAATGTCTGTCCTGCCCCAGGTGAGATAAGGCTATTCTAAAACATATCAGGTGTCTCTGTCTTTTATTATAATGGCGGATTAGATAATGCCACTGTAATAATTTTAGGACTAATAATAAACATTATTAGGATATACCTTTAAATTAACCATAACAGAGGACCCTTGGCCAATCTGGTTTTGTACCTCACTCAAGTCAAGCTTTTGCTTTGCTCTGACTTTTGATTCAGTCTAGCCTCAGTAGCATATGCTGTGGTCTATCAGTAAAGCAACCATCAATAAACAAACCTATAGAAACTGTGCCTCAAGAAAGAATAGAGAATAAAACAGGGGGTAAATGGTACAATTCTTGTTCCCACAACTGTCACAAAGCTGTTGCTGGAATGCAAGACTGTCTTTTCCAGAACGTTAGCTGGTCAAAGTTTGACATCTGGTGAGGTGACTTAAACTGTCACAGAAGAGAACCAGAGCCTTTTCGTGGTTCTGCCTGTAGGAAGTTTCCATAGTTTGTTTTTCATTTTCCCTCAGAGCACAGCATTTTTAAGAAATGATCTGGTGATTCTGTAGGCCCCATCCTTCTTCCACACTTCACAGCTAACTCCAGTTCCCCCTTAGGGTCTGTCATACAACCAGCTGACACTCTTCTGGTGTGTCCACTCAGCATCATAAGGAGTTCTCAGTCTCCAGTTCAGTCAGTCCCTGCTGACCACCCATCCTAAGGTCCTAATATCTTTCAGGGCAAGACCTTGTTTCTGTCAGTTGCAAACACCAAGATGTCACAGGTTTAAGTTGCAGTTTAAAGTCCCATTCTACACATCATGCACACACACACAACTTCTGTGCTTTGTTTCTAGTTTATATATTCTGACTATGAAAGGTATTGACAAAAAAAAAAAAAAAAAAAAAAAAAAAGAACTCCAGCTAAGAACAGCATGAGCCCTAAACTAATGAGGAGCCACCTCCTGGTTGTTGTTGTAACAGGTTATTGATAGCATCTGCATTACAGGGCAGTTCCTTTTTCAAAGTTAAATGTATATTAAGACTAATAAATTCCACAGGTTTATTATTTCTTTCCATGTAAAGAAATTTGTTTATGTAAGAAGCACATTGTATGTGAAGTTATGATGATATAAAAGTTTTCAGTAATTGGCAAGTGGAAGAAAAATCAAGCATGACTTTAGCTGAAAAGGTTAAAATATTTCCCCCTTCCTAAAGGAAGAAGACAATTCTATGCAGCCAGCTCTCCTGGAATATGTGAATATTCAGAGGCTCTGCTTTGGCTGTCCTTGGTAAACTGGATGCTCAATAGTGGGTTCCAGGTGTAAGGAAATACCTGTTGTTGAATCCATAGCCTATTTTACTTTGCTCTTGGGCCCAAATGGCTGACCAGGATTGGTACCAATTCACACAAAGAATTGGTAACATGTTAATCTGGTTACCAAGAGCAAACATTGTAGCATGGCCTTTCACAGGACTCAAAAAGTGTGTGTGTGTATGAATGTGTGTGTGTGTGTGTGTGTGTGTGTTCTGATCCCTAGGCTGATTTATTGGCAAGATTTGAAGGCAGGTTTTGAACTGCAGGAATGATGAGAACAAATCAACCAGGAGTGTAGAGTCTTGGGGGCGGAGCCGCAAGACAGATTTTAGAACTACTGGCCATGTTTCTGCTTTTACACAACATTCAAAGTCTGGACACAAGCTCCCTTTGGCTGCTTGCCCATCTATTGATCAAGACAATGTGATTTACAGACCCAACCTGACAGCATACAACTCAGGAGAGTTATTTCCAGTCAATGTAATAACTATAAATTTGTGGTTTGTGAGACAGGTAAGAAAGTAATCCATATAAGAAAGGTGCAAAATCCAACTAGGTAGTAAAGATATTAGTCACAGCACTAGCACAGGGAAGTAGAAGGGTAAGAACCAATTAACTTTAGCAGTCAGTGGAGATTGATTGCAACTGGGAGGGAGGCGGTTGAGCAATAAGATGTCAGGGACCCAAATTAGGCAATTAGATTTATGAAGGGGGTTAGAGGGAGACCAGTGTTGGGAGTTGTAGTAAAAATAAAATAGCCAGATGAAGCAATTTGCAAGAAAAGAAAAGAACTTGAAAAGCCTCTTTTCTACATTAATGGGCTCAATGTGTAACGTGCAACCTAAGTTAAACTTTCTGGAGAAATTAGGCTCGAGGTCTTTGTCCAGAATCCCTAAGAACTGCATCAAATGTTTTGAACAGCTGGAAGATAAAAGACTTAGCAATCTTAGGATGGTGTGAAGATATGCATAGATGAAGACAATGATTGAGTCAAATCCTGGAATCTAAATCTTCTTGTACCAAATTTAGAATGGAAAAGGCAAAACCAGGTCACACAACACAGAAAAATGCATAAGAATGAAAAGAAGAGGTCTTAACAGTATATCTCTGTACATCTTAATAACGTGAATAGTTTTGTTCTTAAATTTGGCACACTGATCTTGTTATTTCAGCACTTAAATTGATGTTTTAATTTTAATTTTAAAGTTTTACTTGTCTGTCTGTCTATCTATCTATCTATCTATCTATCTATTTGATCTTTTGAGGCAGCATTTCTCTGTGTGCCCTTGGCAGTCCTGGAATTCACTCTGTAGATCAGGCTGGCCTCAAACCCAGTGAGAACCTCCTACCTCTGCCTCCCAAGTGCTGGGATTAAAGGCATGCACCACCACTGCCTGGCCATGGTTTTAATTTTTAAAAGTACAGCATTAACAAGCACATTTTGACAGTATGGTAGCCCCACTTTATCTGCAAAGGGTAGCTTCTAAAATCCCTGATAGATATCTGAAATTATGGATAGTACAAAACACTACCTATGCCTTTTTTTGTTTTTTGGTTTTTTTTTTTGTTTGTTTGTTTGTTTGTTTTTCTCTACAATTACGGACTTCATTCTTTGACTGACACATATTCAAGAAACCTGTGATGGCTAATCTTGGTTGTCAACTTAACCACACCTATAGTCAACTAAAGCCCAAGCTGCTGGACACATCAGTGAAAGATTTGCTTAATCAGCCTAAATCTGGCCCATGCCTTCTGGTGGTAACCCACATCAAATGAGATGGAAGAAGAAAGGGTTTGCTCTTTGTTT